CCCGCCCCAGCCTCCCCTTTCCGCCCAGCCTGGGACGGGCACCGCCTCGCCTCCCGAGCAGGCCCGGGGCCCCCCGAGAGCGGCGTGAGGAGCCCGGCCCCCCGTTCCCGCGTCGGTCAGAAGGGGCCGCAGATGGGCCCGTCCCTGGGGACAGCCTCGGCTCCGCGTCCTCGCTCGGGCGCCGGTGGCGGTGTGCCTGAAGGTCGGGGGGACATACGGTCCCCCCAAATAAAACGAGGGCAGAGATCCACGATGTCGTCTGTGTGTGCGAGGCCCTTCCTGTTTCACAGAGGACTCGGCATGGTCAGTATGTGAGGGCCACGCACCCTAAAACTCCACAACTGATTAAATAGGGCCTCCTGTGAACTACCTGTTCCCAAACGAGGCGGCCCCAAATTGTGTGGCATAGTAGGCTGAGTAAGGAAGGGCCAAAAGCAGGGCCCCAAACCCTGGCACCGGTCAGTGCTATAAGGAAAAGAGGCCGTTGCACACATGATTCAGTCACGGATCTCGAAATGGGGAGGTTATGCGGGTGGGCTCCAAGTGGAAGCACAGGTAGGATGGGGACACTTGCTGGAAGAGGAGAATACACTGTGACCACAGAGGCAGAGATCAGAGTGATGACAAGTCAAGGAGCGCCGGCGGCCAGGAGGATCTGGGAGAGGCAAGAAGTGCATTTCCCATTCTTCTGGGGGGGAGGGGGCAGCCCCGCCAACACCTTCATTTCAGCCCTGTAAGACTGATTTCGGACTTCTGGCCTTCAGAACTGTGAGAGAATCAGTGGCTATTGTTTTAAGCCACGGAGCTCGTGGTAATTTGTTACAGCAACTACAGCATCATCATGCATATCATCATGCTTATAAATCGCATAGAATCAATCCTGTATTGAATATTTTAAAGCTCTCCCGCTGGGGCAGTGGCGGCAGGTTTGATAATGGAGAACACTAAATATTTTCTTAAACTCTGCCAATCCTAAGAAAAAAAAATTGAACAAGCAATTCGGTAAGAAGAGAATAAATTAGGTTCTTAGGGAAAAGGTAGTCTAGCACTTAAAGTAAATTTTTAAACTTTCAAATGTATTTCTATTAATATATCACTGTATTTGCTCTAGTTTAGAGACTAAAGGTACAAAGTGACTCAGACTTGGTCTGTAGCTGTGATGTTATTGGAAGTCATCATATCAAGAGTTGCAGACACCTGGGGATTGAGCCCAGGCCTGGGCAAAAGAGACAAAGCAACCTCTAATCATCTTGAAATGACAATCTGGAGTTTTCAGAGTGCATGAAAAAAACAGTGTTTAGGTTTAATTGACTGATTTCTGGGACACAGGCAGCTAATTTGCACCCCTACTCTTACCCCACAAAACATCACAAAGAGTAGCCAATTCACTTCCTTTCTGAATTGCTTTTGTGAGGTATAATTTACATAGTATAAAATTCACCAGTTTTAAGTATAAAATCCAATGATTTTTAGTAAATTTACATAGTTGTGCAGTCATCACCACAATTCAGTTTTAGAACATTTCCATCATCCAGAAAAGTCCCTCATACCCATTTGCAGTCAGTCCCCAGTCCCTCTGCTGGACTACTCCAGTGGCCTCATAACTCAGTATATTGTCCACCCAGCTGTTGGACAATATGTCCCTGATTAAAATTATTAATCAGTAGCTTTCCATTGCAATTAGAATAAACCCCAAAGTCCTTAGTATGGCTTTTTTAAGGCCCCATGAGCTCTACCCACTACTAGCTTCACCAACAACTCAGGATAATTTAGGAGAGGAAATGATTATAAGCACAGCGTTGCTCTGGGCATGGTACACAGTTGGCTGTCCATAATTAGGCCTCTCATCCTTTCTTGACTACATGCAGTCTCACTAGTCTCCTTCCTCATCAGTCAGTGAACACTGAGCCCTTTTCATCTCAGGGCCTTTGCATATGCTATTTCCCCCTAGGATCTTCCCCAAGCCTCTGTGGAGTTGACTGCGTTTACTCATTCAGCTCAAATGTCACCTCTTCATAAAGTTCTTCCCTGACCTACCCTAAGTAGCTTCAACTTTATCTCTCTATATACTGCTATTCTCATCATTGCACTTAACCATTCTCCAAAATTGTATTTTTATTAATTTCTTTAGCATCTCTCTTTCCCCATTAAACTAAGATTCATGAGGGTAGAAACCTGGTCTAGATCTTAGACAGCTCTAGCTCTAGCATTCATAGGAGCATTAATCATAGCAGTAAAACATCAAAATGCCAACAACAATAATTAATAATTATTGAATGCTTACTTTGTGCCAGGCGCTATGCCAGGTGGCTTATATATGAATGATTTAATTGAAGTTTACTGCTTTTGATGTGGGACAAGTAAGGGGAGCATGTCCTCTAAATATAGCCCCCTACATGAAATTATTGTTTTCAGAGACATTGGACACTTTTCATTCTCTTCTTATTAGAACGTTGATTTTAAAGACTAGATCAAAGTACATTGAACCTCTTTTTACACATCCCTAAAAACACATCCCTAAAACTGGAGATGTTTTGCTAGGAAGGAAAGGTGGAACCAAAAAGAAGTATATATAAAAGCAGAGTCTTAAAAGAACCGGACAGGCTCAGGACGCAGCGAGAAGGCCTTGATTGGAGCACAATATATATTGGAATGGAGATGAAGCTGGGAGGTTGGTTAGACCCAATCATAAAGGGTTTTGAGTGCTAGTCTTAGTTCAAACCTTAATTTTTTAGCAAGATGGGATAAAACGGCTCTGATTTTAAAGGAAACTCTTAAAGACTGTGAGAAAGTAAAGCTAGAAAGATCATTTTGAGGTATTTGTAGTAGGCCTGGCAAGAGTTGGTTAAAGCATGAAGGAGCACAAAAGGACTAAAATTAACTAAGTTGCATGTTCCAGGGTTCATTCCTTATGAGTTATGAGCACACTTAAGTCTTCTTCACCAAGTTAAAAGATATTACAGAGATAGATTCAACAGAATGTGGGTATTCATTGGATGTGGAGTTTGAGTAGAAGAAGAATAGATGAAGACACTGAAATGTCTAACTTGGGAAGTTGGGTTTATGGTGTCATTATCTGAGACACACACTAGAAAGCAGGTTAGGTGGGAATGTGAAGAGACCAGATTAGGTGTAAGATGAATTTAAGATGACTGTAAACATATATGCAGAGGTGTTAAAGGGACATATATATTCATTAAAATTTTTCTAGAGCCCCCTAATTTTTTTAAACAAATAGCATGAAACTTGATGGAAGCAGAATTGTCTCTGTCTGGCTTTGTTGTTGACTGAAATCACCTGTGAGAAGTCATCGTAATTTTTGGTCATCTTTTTGCTAAATGTTTTCCATGGTAAATTATAGAATGTCCAAGTTGGAGAATATTTTAGAGATCTTCTAGTCCAACACTCTGCCCAAGAGAGGACAGATAGTAACAGTTGTCGTTCCAACAAATGCTCACCCACCCTCAGCTTGAATACCTCAGAAGGAAGCCCACCATGCATGTATTCAAGGTGCTCTAGCTTTTAGAAAATCCATCTCCATTCTTAGAATCTACCTCCCTTTACTTCTAATCATTATTCCTAATTCTGAACATAGGATATTGTCCCTCATTTTTCCAGTGTGGCAACTGTTCACTTAGCTTCTGAGATATTCCAAAAATCCTAGTTGTTTATCATCTCAGTTCCACTGCTTAAAATTTATAGACCTCTTTCTAACCCACTCATGCAAGTTCCTCTACCTAGTAACTTTTCTAATCAAGTACAAGAGCTATTACCTGGTCAAAACATCTCCAACCAATGAAAAACAGTTTAAATGGTCAGAGGACATTCAGATGGTCTACTTAAGTCAGTTTGGACTGTACCTGGAGAAAGATCAGGTCTGGGAATGTACATATGGGAAAGGGGGCTATGTGCCTATAGGTTTACTTACATTATCTTGATATTGCCAATAAGATCTGTACCAACAAAATTAGCATTGGACCAACAGGGAGCATATAATTGAACATGTTCTGGTGTGCAAACATAGCCTAGATAAGTGCCAAAAATATATACTTTCATATGCCAGATAAGCCCAAAGGGGGACAAAAAGGTTTTTGTTACTGTTGTGTCTGTGTTTTAGGTGTTGTCAAGATCTTAAGTGATGAAAATGAACTTTTGAAATTCTTGAAAATAATAAATTTCAGAAAGTGAAGTATTATATTGAATAGGCAGATTTTTAAATATTTTGGTTTTTTCGGTGTTAATAGGATAAGTGAAAATAAGAATATCCAGATATTAAGGTATCTCGTTTTATATTTATATTTAAGAATTGCAAACATACACAACTGATATACTAATTTAATATATCTATATCTAATCTATTTTAGAAACTGAAACCTTGAACTTGATGAATGCCTAGGCTGGAATATCTAAGATAAAGCTACACGGGCTTTATCTGTGGTTTTCAAACTCTTCAGTGGAGCCTTCTGTAGCCCATAATGGTGTCTCTGGGGCATAGAGAAGAGTGTATAGTTGGGGCTCTGAAGGTTTAAAGAAAGGCTTCCACTGCTTGAAAAAGTTTGGAAAACACAACTTTAATCTCATTTAGTAATGGTGGAAATTGAGGCTCCGAGATATGAAAAGATTTCCCTGTGTTCTCACAAGTAACCAATGACAGAATTAAGTTTCCTGATTCAAAGTTCTATGCTTCCATTCTGCCTCCCTACAACATGGTATTATGTACTGGTGAAGTATAATCTTAAATAGCCTAATTCTATATTACATTATAATCTTCCCTGTGTTTACTCAATGCAGTCTAAATCCACTTACTTTTTTGTTAGTAGACCTATATGAAACTTACATCTCCTTTCTAGATAAATAGAAAGATATAGCCATTTATTATGGAAATGAGTTAGTATGCAAGCTTAAATTATAAATACAGTACTGTTATTCATGAATAATTTAAAATCAGGCAGAATTGTTCATAATAAATCTTGGGCTACCAGAAGAGGCCAAGATCTCATCTTTGTACTTGACTCAGAGATTTAAATCAAACACATGTAAATTCAGGTTATGATCCCCATATCAACAAAGTACAGCATTTTAACAATTTATGACTTCCTTTTACCAGAAATCCTTAATAATTTATTAAGATTTATACATGAAAATAGATATAATGTTCCAATTCTTAAAGTGTAATAAAAGTAGAGAAATGCTGAGTGATTTGACCCAATTGAGGGATATGGTCAATCTAAAATAGTGAAAATTGGAATTCAAGTATTTTTTAAATGTGTTTTGTTTTGTTTTTTACATTGATTTCAGAGAGG